TTAGTTTTTGTGACAATTTAGATATCATTTTGAAGTTGACAATATTGAATCAATACCATTATTTTACATGACAGTCCCTCTAATAACAAATTACTTGTGGCACATTTTAATGATTTGGGTACTTTTGTAGGTTATGAATGGTCATTCCTCAAATGATGGAATTCTAAGAGACTATTGTGATGGTGAACAGTACAAAATGCATGCTCTTTTTGGACAACCTGGTAATGCACTACTTCTTCATTGTTACTATGATGATTTTCAAGTAACAAACCCGCTTGGATCAAAGACAAAAAAACATAAAATAGGTATGCTTTTCAATCATGTATTTACATGCATGTAAACTATTACGTGTTTTGTTAGGTTGCTGTTAGCATTAATAATTATCATGAACATTATTATTTATTGACTGACAATCTTTTGTTTTTTTGTGATGTGTGTTTCAAAGGAAAAGTCATCTCCTGTTTTTGTGTGTGTGTGTGTGCTTGTTGATGGTGTGTTTGCAGATGATGAAAAAACAAACTACAACCAAACTATCCACAAGATATTAATTGCATGTTTGTCATGTTTAAACAATATCTGGCAGGGAAATTTTGAGAAATCTCTAAAAACTGATCTTTTGGGGATATCCTATTCACTTATGAATGTTTATGAGGTTTGACATGCAACATCCACCATCCTAAATGTCAATCCTGTTCAATATCAAAATATTGAATGCGTAGATGAAATGAGAGTAAGTTCCCTCAAATGTGCATTGTAAAATAAGTGCAAATGTAAGGTCTGGTTCATACGACGTGCTTCTGTTGTGCTGCACAATAGCACATTTGTGTTGACCCAAACTAAAGAAGGTTCAGCCTTGATTCATACGTCATACCTAGTATGTTGAGCCAAATACCTTAAACATAAATAGGTGGTAAAAACAGTCAGCAGAATTAAAGCAGAATTGAAAAATATCAAAGGAAAACATTGTTTGAGGTATGCATTTGGTTTGGCACAACATGTTATGACTATTGCCATTGAAATTGATTTTTTTATGAACATCAGGAGCCTTTTACTTCAATCTGGGAAATCTTAGTCCAGAATACCGTTCTGTTATCAACTCAATTCAGCTAATTGCTTTGTGCCGAGTACCGCTCATAAAAAAGTATGGAATGAATAGGATACTGCAGCCATTCATGCAAGACCTGCATCAACTAGAGGCAGTAAGTATATTGTAGCATACACTTAACTGTCACCTAAATGTAAGTTCTACCATATAAAAATAATTAAGTGCACATTGTCATTAATATTAATTTATAATTTAATTAAAAAATATGTATTTGTTTTCTTCCTAGGATAGAGGTGTAACATTTTGGATAGATGAACAAGAAAGAACATTCAGTGGTTCCATTGGACCTTATTCAAGTGACAATCTTGGGGCACATTCTCTTGGTGGTTTTCAGGAGAGCTTTTCTGGTCTAAGGATTTGTAGAATTTGTATGGCAACTAGAGAAGACACTAACACAAAGGTAGTAGTAGTAGTGTGCATGCATTTTTGGTCATTATTCAATGTGTCAAGTGTAAAAGATTATTTACCGGCATTCTAAATTTTGTTACAAATAAGTTTAGACTTTTGATCAGACCCTGTGTCAATAGTGTTAATATGAGTCTACACTTCAAAGTTCATGGATTTGAGATGAATATACTATTATACAACTCATATTGTGAATGTCACATTGATATTAGTTTACAGAAGCAGATTTTCAAATTAGAACAAGAGCAATCCATGACAGACATTGCCGGCTTGTAGAAAATGATGCAAATCTAGAAGCAACTTATGGGGTAAAAACAAGAAGTGTTCTCAACCAGTCCCGTTACTTCCACATTACTGATGGACTTGTTCTTGATGTCATGCATGACCAACTTGAGGGAGTGCTGCCCCTAGAAGTCAAGATTCTGTTACAGAAGTACATTCAAGAGGAAAATTATTTCACACTTGAAATTGTGAATGACAGATTAGAAAGATTGTGGTATCCTCAATCTGATGCTAGCAATAAACCAAGTCCTATAAAGCCGCAGTCATTGGCAAACAATTCAATGAGGATTTCACAGTCAGGTTAGGAGAATGATGTTTTGCAATGGCTGAGTTACATATTACTATTATATATTATGTTATATTTTAAAAAGAAAAAGAAATATACAAAAAATATATATAAAAGGCTTTGTTGTATACTAAAAGTACATGATAATTTCATATTCTTTTTCTTTCTTTCACCAGCAGCTCGGATGTGGTGCCTGGCAAGAATGTTTCCTATACTTATAGGAGACTTGATTCCACAAAATGATGAGCACTGGGAAAACTTTTTGCGACTACTGAAAATTGAAGAAATTGTTTTTGCTCCTAAAGCAACACCACAGGTGGCTGCATATCTTGGAGTTCTCATAGAGGAGTACCTAGAGGACTATGTCAACCTCAATGACCGGCTTCCAATCCCAAAGCAGCATTACATGGTGCATTACCCAAATCAAATTATCAAGTATGTCTTTTTATATTGAAATTGTAAGCATTGTACATTTTGTACTACTGGGGGTTAGGGGAAGGGTATTACCACTTTATCCACCTTTCATAACTTTACATACCCTTTCAATATATGTATTATTAGCCCACTCAGACTTCATCATGCTGATTATTTAAGTTTTCTGAAACTTGCAGTGCAGCTTATACATGGGTATATAATGCAGTATTACTTATAGTTTTATGTGATGTTTAATGAATGAGCAATAATGTCTTATCAGGTTTAGAAGCATGAGGTGCAGCCGAGTGTTTTTAGACCTCATAATTATAAGATTTTGGTTCCACTGGAGCCACCATACATGGACTTTCATACTTCAATAGATATTTGACGTCACAGGCATGTGCGAGTAGCTCTAAAAGAAACTCCCACATGCTCAATATTCTATACATGGCAATCTGGAATTTTAGGGTGTGATGAGACCTTGATGAGGCTCTAAGTCTTCATCTAAACATGGACATATACTTCCTCTCAGATAAAGTCATCTGTCTTAGTGTTCTTTATATAAAGAATACTAATGAAGGTAATTTTTTTTATATAAAGGTTCATCTAAAAGATGGACTTAAAGGGGGACATTATCGAGTATAAAGGTCCATGCATGTAATATGTATGGTGTATCCAGTTGGCCCAAAGGCTTATGAATTATTAATGAGTTTTTGAATAATATCTAGTAATCTTTCATTTACAGAAATGGTCCCCTAGTAAGAAACTGGGCCATGAGGTTCGAGGCCAAACATAACTACTTTAAAAAGCTGGTAGACAACGTCAACAATTTCAAAAATATCACCTATTCCTTGGCTATGAGGCATCAAGCCCTTCAGACTTATCGAATGCAAAGTTCACAAGGCAACTATTTGAGAGTGTCTTTGGAAATTGGACCTGGTAAGGGAGCCATCATTAATTACTGGGGGGGAGGGCCAGTAAAATTTCTAAACCTTCATCCCAAGAAATCTTGTCCTCCCCAAATCAAAGCCTTGTCCCTCTCCCTAAATGCTGGTCCAAAATTTTTTGGCCCTTCCCAAATCAAAGCCCCCTAAACTTACCAGCCCTCCCCCAGTAATTAATGACCTAAGCATTAAATTAATTTAACCCCATGTTCAATGTCATTGGCTAAATCATGAGAGTTTCCTTTAATATATATATATATTTTATATAACTTTTTAGCTGTTGGAAGGGTAACAACTGTTCAAGAAGCAGGAGTAGAAGATGAGCTGCAAGAGGCAGACCCCCAAACTAAAGGCGACAGTTCACTGACACGCACATCCTGGGTTAAAGTTTATGGAACCAAATACGTAAAGGGCGATGTTATTGTAATTGACTACCACCATGGCTTTCCAATTTTGGGAAAGATCCAAAAGGTTTTGGTTGTTGAGAGACACATAGTTTGGTTTCAGTACCTTAAAATAAATGTTACTGAATTTGTCTGTCATTTAAATGCTTTTAAAGTTCAGCAACTGAACGAAATAAGATATATTAAGCAATCTGAGCTTCTAGATTATTACCCCCTTGGTCTCGTTAAGGGATTTGGTTGCTATGCCAACCAAGTCTTCGTGACATTGAAATACAGATTGGATCTTATGCAGTAATGATATTTTTGATTACATTTTGCTATATTGATGCATGTAAATAATACAGAAAAAATCATGATAAATAGTATATTGCAGAATAGAAAGTAAAGTTTCTTAAAATGGCTGCAAAAATATAAAGAAAAATTATTAAAAAGAATAATTACTTTTGTTTCAACTATGTTGTGGTGATATTCATGCTCCATTTTTTCTGAGTAGAATTACTCAGAAACCAACTTGGATATCATAATGCGATTGAGTAATTTAACTCAACATTTGAGTTAGATTCTCTGAATTATCAAAGAGTTATTGGGTATTTCAATGATTTATGGGTGTTTTATTCATGTACTTTGGCCATTTTCGGGATGGATCGATTTGTAAAGGTTGTTTAATATTGTTCGAATTTGTGTCAATTGCTTGTGTACTATGTCTTGTCATAGTGCACGTGTTACTTTATACTGTTACATAATGTGTAGCAAATATAGCAAAAATATCCCAGCAGAAAGCATCCTTTGCTGGTAAAGCCCATCTCAAAATCATCCCTCATCCCTGTATTCCTTATGACAGACTCAACTTTTAGTTAATTTACTCAATACCGAGTAAATAAACTCACATATTGTGAGTTATATTACTTGACAAATTTTAGTAGAAATATTTGAGTAACTTAACTCAATATATTGAGTTAATTCCTGAGTTAACTCAAATTTTGAGTTAATCTAACTCATTTTGAATTAATCTAACTCATTTAAAAAAATGCTTTTTTTGCGGTGTANGGACCAATGGTAGCGCGCAAAGATCGTGACGTCAAGTCCACATGGTGCTTATCGTGGACGCTTAGCAGCTTTGTCATTTATCGAGCGGAGGAGCGAGCAAGTTTGAGGTAAGAAAATTGTATTTTTCACCTACCTTTGTAAGTTTTATTTCCAATTCTGCGTGAGTGCACTTAAGTTAAGTGCCTTTGTGGTATAATTATCGAGTTAGCAAGCTCAGTAACCGGCCAGTGTGCCAAAGTCGGCCAGTGTGCCAAGTTGACGAGTGTGTCAAAGTCGGCAAGCGTGCCAAATGTAGACAACGCCAGCAGGCATAGAGCAATCAAAGAAACTGAGAAACCACCGAATTAAACAAAACAAAGCTCAAACAAACGATAATCGTAGCAAACTAGCGGCCAGTAAGCCAACTTTGACACCATTAGCGAGCAGAAAGCAATCAAAGTTGTAGCAAACTAGCGGCGGCGAACGAGCCACACGTGAGAGTGCCAAAGTCGGCAAGGGTGCCAAATCTAGACAACGCCAGCAGGCATAAAGCAATCAAAGAAACTGAGAAACCGCTTGAAACTGTATTCAAACAAAACAAACGATAGTTTTAGCAAACTAGTGGCCAGTGAGGCAACTTTGTCACCATTAATAGCGAGCAGTTAGACAACGCCAGCAGGCATAAAGCAATCAAAGAAACTGAGAAACCGCTTGAAACTGTATTCAAACAAAACAAACGATAGTTTTAGCAAACTAGTGGCCAGTGAGGCAACTTTGTCACCATTAATAGCGAGCAGAAAGCAATTAAAGTTGTAGCAAACTAGCGGCGAGCTAGCCACGAAAGAGTGCACTCGTCATTGGCCACTGAACCAACTTTGTCACCCCACAAACAAGCTGAAAACAATCGAAGCAACTGAGATTCAACTTAACTTAAGCTTGAGTTAAATTCAAAGGAAACCTAACGCGGCGGAAGTGCATTGGAGAGCGAGCAAGCTGCAATAATCAACTGTCAGCTCGATCAATTCTTTCGACTGTTATTAAAATCAAGCGTATCACGAATTTTTGAAGCACAGACTTTTTGCCCACTAAAATACAAGGTACACCTAGAGCAATAAACCGCACAAAAGTTTGAAAATGATGTGGCTATTGTTTATGTTGCTACTCTTTCCCAATCGTACTGCCCACAATAATCTGTTAGAATTGGGGAGTGTGTGCCCAAAATGCAGCATGATCTATTTCAGATTTAGGGGGAGATACTTGTCAAGGCGAATAGCTTATCCTTCTAATGGTAGTTTTAATCCCTTCGTTATTTCAAACAAGGAGGCACACATTGTGAATGGGAACATAAATTCAGAAGTGTTGGAAGAAAAACGCAATGCAATATGTAATAGCACTGATAGTAATTCTACATACATGTGTGAAGGATCAAATGTAAGAGATCACTTTCGTAATTATTGTTTGACCAACGTAGGGAAGTTTTCTTGTGCAGTTGATTGCTTTCTTGAGCTATGTTATTTTGTTTTTCGCAATCATCTTCAAAACATTACATGCAATGATTTTTTTCAAGTTATCTCTGAGGCGTGCAATCAAAGGGCAATTGTTGGTGCTGTTGATGTTGTGCGAGAGCCTATATGGTCACTGATCAGAGGTCGTTGCCCATCATTTTCTTCAATGACTGCAAATGCTGTTTTTAGTGACATATTTACCATGCAAGCATTTGGGGATTTAACCAGTGATTTGAAATCATTATTTCTTATTCAACAATGTAATCAGACTTGCTGCACCCTGTGTAACAATCAAATATTGAAAACTACTAGCACTATTGTCTTGTATATTACTTGTCCAAATATTCTGCCCACTGAATTTGAAAACTGTGTTTCAGAAGCTGCTTTGCCTAATAGCAGACCACTTTTTTGTGATGCATGTCAAAGGCATTCTGGTGATATTTCAGGTTTGCAACATTTTGTTACCATGCCAAAATTTTTACACATTGAATTATCATCAATTTCTTTTGGTCAAACTGTTCTACCAGCAAGTATGGAACTCTTAGGTACATTTTACTTATTAAAAGCTGTTGTGCGGTGTGCAAGCCACCATTTCACTATTGCTATAAACAATGGTCGTTATTGGTTTTATTATGATGATCTCTGTAGTGCAGTTCAGCAATATGCTACATTTCAAGATATTTTGAATGTTTACGCCAATGGATGGTATTTTGCTGTTTATGAAAGCTCTGTTGATAACATTATTAATATACATCAAGGCATTGATTCCTGTACATTAATGCCAGACCATTCTTATTCAAAATTAGAGGATAAAGAACGCCAAGCCTGTGATGATTTTGGGAAAGAAGTTTGCACACCCAGAAAACGACAAAGACCAGAAACAAATACTGACAAATTGATAGATAGAAAAAGAAAGCTGAACTTAAATGTAGTAAATCCACATTTGAAGAATTACAAAATTGCTAAAAAAGCCAAAGAGACAGAGAGTGAAAAACTTTCTAGACAAAAAAAGCAAAAAGAATATATGAGGGCATACAGAAGGAAAATAAAGGATTATGAGACAGGGGAGGAGAAGCAAGCACGATTGATAAAACAAAATGTGCAAAAGTGGAACTCTAGACAGAAAAAGGAAGACAATACATTTGATGTAATTAAACCAGTAGGAAAATTTACAGCTAAAAAAGCCAAAGAGACAGAGAGTGAAAAACTTTCTAGACAAAAAAACCAAAAAGAATATATGAGGGCATACAGAAGGAAAATAAAGGATTATGAGACAGGGGAGGAGAAGCAAGCACGATTGATAAAACAAAATGTGCAAAAGTGGAACTCTAGACAGAAAAAGGAAGACAATACATTTGATGTAATTAAACCAGTAGGAAAATTTACAGCATGGCAAAAAGTAGATAAACCACTGCATAATGTTGACAAAGAAGCATATTTATCTCAATTTGACAGTATAAACACTGGACCAATTCATGTACAGAAGTGGGCTATCAAAAACATGGAAGACTTTCATAATTCACTTAAATTCAAAATTTATATGTGTGAAGTTTGCCATGAGGCATGGCCATTATCATCAAAAGGCAAAAAGAGATCTCCTTATATGTGTTCAAGATGTTCACGTGACAAGAATGGAGTGAAAAAATTTTCATCTCAGAATGGAATGATTCCTTCACAAGTCCCAAATGAATTGCAAGGTTTAACGCAATTAGAGGAAATGTTAATAGCTCGTGTTTTCCCAGTAATTTCTGTTTATACAAAACCAGGTGGACAAAAAGCATATAAAGGTCATTGTATTAACTTCTCTCAAGATATCCAAGAGTTAGCCAATTCATTGCCAAGAAACCTAAGTGAAATGCCAGTAATAGTTGTGTCAGTCAAAGGCAAAGATAATACTTATAAAGATCTCACTGTGAGACGTGAAAAGGTCAGCTGTGCTCTGCACTGGTTAGTTCAACATAACCCTGTATATAAGGATATCACTATTGATTATGAATTGTTGGCTTTCTTGCCTTCTGATGGCATTCCCACTGAGCTGCGTAAAATTTATTGTACTGAGAACAGTAAAGATGATGAAATTGATCCAGACAGAGGTCCTCTTGATGAAATACCTTTCAATGAAGACACAGAATTGAGTAGCACAATTCTTAACCCTGTACAACTAAAGCCACAGAAGCAGCTGATAAAAGATGAGTTATTACAAAACAGTAAAATCAATTGGCCTAATAGGAATTCAAGTCCTCTCAATGAGTTTAAAATTGAATAATTAGCTACTATGGCATTTCCTACTTTGTTCCCAGATGGTAAAGGAGATCCTACTAACAGTGCTACAATGCGTGATGTGACCCTTGGAGATAAAATAAAACATTTGATTAAATTTGCTGAATATAATAATGGTAAATGGGCTTATAGGTTTGCAAGTCACCCACGGTTTGCTTATTGGGCATTCAACATGATTCAGAGGCACAGACTCCTTAGTCAGGGAAATATTTTTTTAAAGCAAAACCCTGGTGAAGCTAAGTTAACTGTAGAACAACTTCAACAAATGCTTCAAACAAATACGTATTCTACTTTAATGTCAAAACTTATGCATTATGCTAAAAATGTTACTGGTAGCAATAGCTATTGGCACAAAGCTAAAGAGGATTTGCGAGCAACCATTGCTCAAGTAGGACCGCCTACTATATTTTTTACTTTATCTTGTGCTGAGTACCATTGGCCTGAATTTCATGAACTCTTTTGTGACCCTCACTCTGAAACACTTCAACCAGCAATCAGGCAGCAAAATGTTCTTCAAAATCCACATATCTTGGATTGGTTTTTTACTGAGCGAACAGATCGTTTTGTCAAGTTTTGGTTAAAAGAGTCATTAGGGGCTTCTTGGCATTGGTACAGATACGAGTATGCAGTTCAGAGAGGTTCAATTCATTGTCATGGAGTTGCAAAATTGAAAAATGATCCAGGACTTTGCGAACTGACAGAAATTGCATTGCAAGGTTTTTTAGCATCAAAGCATATCAATGAGAACAAAGGAAATTTGTCAGAAGAAGAAATATTAGAACTGGAGACTAAGATAAATCAAGGTATACAAGCAGAGTCTGTTGTTTGTCAGTATGTTGACTTTATACTAACAACTTGGAATCCATGTTCCCCAGAAGAAGGGTGGTCCAAACCAGATTCTCATCCATGTCAAACCCAGTATCTGTCTTTGAATGGCAAACAAAAAGAGGAAGACTATGTGAATTTATTAAACTCTGTTGAGAGACATACAATGTGCAGTACTAAGTATTGTCTAAGGGAAACTAGCAAAAATGAATTAGCCTGTAGATTGAAATTTCCTTTTGAAAATTGCCCAAAGACAAGAATAGATTTTGAACCAATAAACACTAAATCAGGCCAAACCAAGTATAGAGCAACCATTGTTACTAAGCGAAATGATTCAAGATTAAATCGTCACCAACCACTGCAGCTCCAAGGATGGAGGGCAAATTGTGATATTCAAATTATTATAGATTATGTGGCATGTTTGGAATATCTTGTGAAATACACATCAAAAGGAGAAAAAGCTTCTTCAGTTCTAAATAATGCATTCACCAATGTAATTAGTAAAGCATCGGACGAAAGTGACATTCATAACATTTTGAAGCAAATTATGATCAAAAGTGTCGGACAACGAGATTATTCAATCCAAGAAGTTATGCATCATTTACTCTCACTCAAATGTGTAAGTGCAACACATGAAGTAATAAATACATCTCTTGATGGTTCACGAAGAGTACAGGTGTCCAAAAATAAGGATTTTTGTACAATCCCATCCATGTTGGATATTTATGCTGAACGAGAGAAGTTTATTAAGACATTTCCAGACATACTGACATATAATTTTTTGCAATTTACCTCCACATTTGTAAGCAAAAACTCAAAACTGGAGAAAAGGAAGCAACCTGTAATAGTTAAAACTTATCCCAAATTTTCTTCAAATCCTCAAAATCAGCAGTATGGGCTGTTCTGTAAATATCAACTGCTAAAATATAAACCTTGGCAACATGTAGCAGACAATGCATGGGACAATCTTGAACAGTGTGATGAAACTTATAAAGCATGTTGGATGAACTTTTTGTGTAGTGATTGTGGGAAGAACAGTGTTCCTGACTGGGAATTGCAATTGAGCAGCTTAAAAGCAGCCATTAATCTGGAAAATGAAAATGAAAACATGGAAATTATAGAGGAAGAAAAGGAAGAGTGGATGTTTATGTCAGAACTGAATTTACAGGAGTTGAGCACAGATACTGAATATAACTCGACGTTAGCTCCTGAAGGATATTGGCACAATGTTAGTGAACATTTTGACGATGTTGATCTACTTTCTGTTACTTCTTGGTTAAATACTCAGAAAAATAAAAATGAACCAAGTTGGCACATATCATCAAGAGTAATAGATATTTCAAGTTTTAGTAGCGATCAATTGTTGGCATACCATATCATTCTAAATCACTTCAACAGCAGTAATGAACTGCCTTTGCATCTACTTGTTAAAGGAATTGCAGGTTCAGGAAAAAGCTATGTTATTGATGCTGTAAGAAATGTTCTTAAGGAAAAATGTCAAGTACTAGCATATACTGGAAAGGCCTCTTTTAATGTCAAGGGTGTAACACTGCATTCTTTCCTCAAACTACCAATTGGTTCAAAAAGACTCTTCGAATTGAAAGGAATAGCTTTGCAACAACTTCAAACTAATTTACAAAACATTCAGTATTTGATTATAGACGAATATTCATTTGTTGGCCAGAGCTTATTTGGGTGGATAGATTGTAGATGCAGGCAAGCTACAGGTTTAGCTGATCAAGCTTTTGGTGGTCTTTCTGTTATTCTGGTCGGTGATATAGCACAGTTATCCCCAGTTGGTGATAAACCACTTTTCCATTCTTTGCCAAAATCAGAAAAACAGATTCAGGGTCACCTCATATATAAAGAGTTCAAACAAGTCGTCACATTGTCAGTGAATCATAGAGTTGATGGCAAAACTAATGCCCACAGCTGCTTTAGAGATCTCCTCATTAGAGCACGAAATGGAGAATCCACTTTGGCAGATTGGCAGACATTGTTATCTAGAACTCCTGAAAATGTAACAAATATTGAAGAATTCCTAACATCATCTGTAAGGCTATCCTATCTGAAGGCAAAAGTTGCAGAAATGAACTTGATCAAATTAAAAAATGTAAACCAGCGAATAGCAACAATCAAAGCCCGTCATTCTGGTGGTGCTCAAACACTTAGCTCTGATGAAATGGGAGGATTAGAACCTGTCATATATTTAGCTAAAGGTGCTAGAGTTATGCTCACTATGAACATGTGGACAGAAGTTGGTCTTTGTAATGGTGCACTAGGAACTGTATTAGATTTTGTATATGCTGATGGGCAAACTCCTCCAGCCCTGCCTATTTGTGTTCTTGTACAGTTTGATGAACAATATAATGGACCTTCTTTAACTGCAAGTGTTCCAAGATGCGTTCCAATTTCTCCAATAACCCAAATTTCACAAAACATAGGTCACACATGTGAAAGACAACAACTTCCTTTAAAGCTAGCATGGGCTATGACTATTCACAAAAGCCAAGGTCTGACTCTTAAAAAAGCATGGATAGATCTCGGCCCTTCAGAGAATTCACCTGGTATGACATATGTGGCTCTTAGTAGAGTAAAAAGACTCCAAGATCTCATAATTGAGCCAATGACATTTGAAAGGTTGCAAGCTTACAAAAAATCAAATTTTTTGAAATATAGGTTAATTGAAGAAAAGAGACTTGATTCTTTATCTCTAAATGCTTCTAAAAATGGTCATCATGAGTAACTTTGACTTAATACAGTAAGCATGTTCTCCAAAAGCTAAACAAGACATCCAAATACCAATTATTGTGTTCCCCTGTTTTTCTTTGTTTGACTTGATTTAATTATTGTCTTTGAAAAGCCTCTGGAGGAAAGTCAATAAAATATGTATCTATGTGTGATGTATTTTTAATTTGTAAAACATTTTTTGTTGCAGACGATGGCAAGCAAAAGGACTTATTGTAAGTACTGAATATAATTATTTTATCTTATAAATACAGAATTCATGCCCCTTTAAGTAGTCTAAGACTAAACAGGGACAACTGGTGTCCCTGTTATTTTGCAGCAACTCAGCCCCTAGCACCTGACTACTGTATCTGTGAAAGGTAGAGGCAATTTTGTTCTTGGTTATTGTTGTTCACTCAAAATAATGAGTACATGCTGACTCCTTTATATTTCAAGCTTTACCTGCAATGTGTCATTTTCTTGAAATATCCAACCCCCCAAATTATTTGACATTACCATGCCAATCAAACATAATTCTCTTATGCATATTCTAACCATCTTAATTGTTTACTTGCAGCAAACGACCATGGGTTTATTCACAACCTCAGTCCAATTAAGAAGTCCCTTAAGTCAAAGCATCAGTGGTATGAATTTCAGCTTCAAACTTCACCCACTAAAGTGAAACGTTTGGTAGGATTTAATCTCTATGTCCATGATTCCTTAAAACATTTTGAGGAAACCAAGAGCCCAGTACAGCTCAAGAACATTATTGTAAAAGACGACAATGAATGTATTTTCAATCAACAATCTGCCGTACATAAAGCAGGCTTGTCAGATGTATCATTTTGTTACACCGAGCAGCCAAAGCTTGAAAGTGCAGGTGAATCAAGTGCTGCAAAGTCAGTTACTGTGTGGAATGTAAAAGGTTTGCACCCAAACCAAAAAGTCAATGTCAGTGGTTCCCTCACTATGGGAAAAGAAGACCTCAAGGCTGTTGTTCTCAGATCCACTGGAGCAACAGCCCATGTGAAGGAAGATTGCGTGTTGGAGGACAACACTGGGTCATCAATGATTCACATTTGGGAACCCCTTGTCCATACCTTGACAACGGGTAAATCATACTGCTTCACCAACCTGACAGTAAAGAATTTCCAAGGGTCGACGTATCTAAGTACATCGCCAAACACAACAGCAAACCTTACAACACAAACAGTGCAAACCCTGACTGGACCAGATATGCTCAAAAGTCCAGAAAAGGAAGTAACTGCTTCAGAATTCAATTTGGTGTCAAAGCTAAACATCTTTTGTTCCTGCAAAGTGTGCAAAAAACGCTTAAATGATGTTGAATCATTCACTTGCACCACACTGAAGTGTGAAAACTGTGGTACACGTCAAAGATCAAGAGATATCAAACTGCAGGCTTCAGCAAAAATTTCTATCACTGAATCAGAAGGTGACAACAGCAAAGAGATGTGGATCCAGGCTTTCACTGAGCAACTAGAAACCCTGCTGGCAGGATCAACCTTATCGCTAAAGGATAAAATCCATGACATTGAAGTTTATCTTATGTCTCTGGAAGACATTTGTTTGGTATACAATGTCCAAACAACAAACATTACAAAGATTCTCTCCTTTAAACGTCCAGAAGTACACTCTGATTAGCACATTGTCTGTGAACAGTCCAATACCCTTGTGTGATTGTCTCGGAGGACGTTGGAAAGTTAAAATTGTTGTTTAATACTGATGTAACATGTGTAGTCTCGGACTGGCCCATGCATCCCAAAGCTAAAAGATGTGCATCTGCTTTCCCAGGTGTTTGACTTTGAAGAACGTTATAGCAGTGAATGAAAAATATTTTGTTACAGTTTAGATTCATGTGTTAGAGATTTCGCTCTTTACATCCCTTAATTAAGGATAAAATTAATGACGTTGAAGTTTATCTTATATTGTCTCGAAGAAAATATTTGTTTGGTCAACAATGTCCAAACAATGAACAATACAAAGTTCTTTCCTTTAAACGTCCAGAAGTAAACTCTGATTAGTTCATTCTGTCTGAACAGTCCAATATCATTGTGTGACTGTCTCGAACGATGTTGGAAAATTAAAATTATTGTTTAATACTGATGTAGCATGTGTTATCTCAGACTGGCCCATGCATCCCAAACTTAATAGTTGTGCTATCCCAGTTGAATGACTGTGAAGAAAAAATTTATTTAGTGATTCAGAAATATTTTGTTACAGTTCATATACAATTAAGAGTTGTTATTGTGGGTTCATTTTTGTTCTGTATTACCTTATATTATTCAGTTTTACACATAATTTTTAGAAAGGGAAGAAAACACACTTGGCTATCATTGCAGCACAAACTTTTGTATTGCAATAATGTAAAATCAAGAAACTTATTTTCGTTTTCACCATATTCACCTCAAAATTTAAAACATTTCACGTTGGTTGGAATACTTCACTACTAAAATTTACACCCACAAAACATGACTCCATTTTTTAACATTACCAATGAGTATTTCTTTTCATTGGTTGCTCGTTGGCACTTAGCGATAGCTATATCTAGT